TTATCATATTATCATTTTATTTCAATTATTAAACTGTTTTTATCTCAACCCATGAGTTTTTCTCACTTGTGCTCTTCCGATTCTCTCCCCCATCCCACTGGGTGGGGGGGGGAGTGAGCAGCGGCTGCGTGGTGCTTAGTTGCCGACTGAAATTAAACCACGACATCTTTTTAATGTTACTACTAAGGTAGGAAGGAAACCAATTGCTTCTTATATCTTTTAACTTGTAATGCAATATTTGCAAGCTACTGAGGTGAACGTTACTAGTCTTCATTTACTATTTCCATCTTGAGTAGACCATCAGTTGGTCTGCCTTGCTTACATGTTGCTTAAGCTGCCCCACAGTCTATGATGTCAATAAAATAGAAATCTATAACTATTCGAAGTATGTTATGGTTGTATCAATCTATATTTTAACTCATGAAGTCAGCTGTGGTTTAAGCAGCAGATGTGAAAGTCTGTGTCTGTTAGACGGCTTGTTCAACTCTGCTTTTATTTTAAAGGTACATCCTGCAGCTTGATGTACAGATCGATGTTTTGGTTTTACCAGAGAATATTATGCATTGAGGAACAGCTTAAAACATTGTCCTTGTTAGAGGTACCTTAACACCTTTTACTTTAAATTCTGTGTTTTAGGGTTGAAAACAATGGGTGAAGATTGCACGTCTAGTTGTTAAATCATTCTATCACAGGTAAATTGCCAGCTTCAGACCATTCAACCACTCAAGCACAAGAACTGGAAGTGAGAGAAAACCAGAAGAGAGAACAGTCTTCCTACTAGCGTTGTTAAAGATAAAATGAAATGTATTATAAGTGCAAAATGTCATGCACAGTATCAAGTATAAACTCTTAGCTTCAGCCATGCTTGAAAACATCAAGTACTTACAACAGAAAGTGTCTACGTTGAGTTGAATTGACCAGTGTGGTATCATCAGTAGCTAAGCTGCTTTGAATCAGCACTCTTCAAATTTCACATGCTGGTTTCCAAGACAGTATGTGGCTTCAAAAAAATTGTCCCTCTCCTTAGTGTGGTAAAAGGAATTTTTCAAATTTCTCAGCCTATTCAACAAATCTTGTTACTTTCAGTCATTTTCTGATTCTTTATTTTCTAGCGGAGTTCCAGATGATGTGGTGAACTTGAAACCTGCTCACAGTCAATTGATTTATTCTAATTAGCATTTGAAGGTGTCAGAAGTACTGTCTCCAGCCCCAAAGAAGAACAGGTAAAATGCTTCCTCAGTGCAATAGCCATGGAAGTTTAGTCACGGACTGAAGATCCTAGCCTAGTTAGAATCTGCCTATGAAATCTTCAGGCTTTTCCAAAGTTTCACCTACATAAATTAGAGATGCAGGTATCTTTTCCCTCACATGGTGATTCCTCCGTTCCTTCAAACCTGTGGTCTTGCAGAGTAAATGGAGGAAAGGTATGCTGTATACTGCTGTTCTCTGAGAGCTGTCCCAAAATTTCACTAGAAAAACTTATTTGACTACAGCACTAGCGAACATAAAAAACAATTACTACTTTTCACAAAATCAAGTTTTAGAATATTTCAGACAAAATACTGATGATTCTTAGTGTGAAACATTCAAACTCGAATGAGTTAGCTTTGATAATCTCTCCCCAAGAAATCTGTATATGGAGCAAGCTCAGATATAGAGTTAACAATTTATACAATTGATACTAGGGTTTTAAGATTGTCATATCTAATTTTCTGCAATAGTCTCTTCAAAAACCTGAAGTGACAAGATGGTAAGTTGAGACCAAATTCGTAACCCAAATGAAATGTGGGTTAAATAGAATTATTCTATCTTCAAACCATGGTTCAGAGGAAATTCATGTTGAACGTCAGTTTGGAAGACACTCTTTCTAACCTTATTTTCTAACTCCAAATAAACTTTAAATCCTCTTCCTTACTATTTTCTTGGTCTGGAATTAGTTTTCATCAAGCTAGTCACAGAGGTAGGGGATATAGTTAACCTTAAATGTTGAAGGTTATCCAGATTGTTTTGCTTCTGACATAATTCTGAATGGTTGCAAGTAGGGACACCGTTGCCTGAGACTGATCCCCCCCGGCACTTTCAGTCCTGGGCAAAATTGTTTTTTGAAGACAAGACAAAGCAGCGGAGGGAGTGGGAGATGGAAAAGGGACATAACAAACATAAATGCAGGCTGAACAGCATGGAAGGATGACAACTGGGAATCGGAGTAAATAATTCCTCATTAAGAGAGAAAGCCAGGAAGAGACAAGAATGAGTAAGGATGTTCAGAATAAACTGTACTAGTAGTCGGACTCTGAGGACATCAATGCGTAAACGTCCCTCGTGCAGCTATTTTTCACAGTTTCTCCTGGATGGTATGGTCTGGCTTTCTGCCCTCATGATCTTTCTTTTTCATGATCGGCCCTTATGATCTTTCTGCCCTCAGCTGGTTTGCTTGAAGTAGTAAGGCAAAACCAGCCCTTGTATTGCCAGAATGAAGGATACTTACACTCTTTCCCACCACGTTCTGAGTTTGTTCAGGGAGGGGTACTTCGGAGTAAGGTCTGTTTTCCGTACTCCTCATGATGTTTCTCTGCTCGTTGAAGTAGCTTGTTTCTGCTTCCTCTGGCTGAGTTTCTGGTTGGTTTGACCACTGACTGTTCTGAGTGGTTACTGAAATGAGACTATTAGTAAACATTTGACTTCTTTTTTTAAAGCTCTCATTTCTGGAGTAGCTTCCAAAGTTCACAAAATGCCATGCTAAATGTAGGTGCTCACGGGGGTTTTTTTCTCCCAAAATGTAAACATATACATTTATATGGATAGTGCAAAAAAGTGTCTGTGTGTGTGTACAAATACATTTGTGTATTACATGCTGGATGCGAAAAGGAGTGTAAGCCTGGCTCTCCTGATGACAAAAAGAGTTATGCCATTCACTTCATTCAGGACAGGATTTCACCCATATAGCCTCTGAAAATTAGAATTATTTAAAATGCCAGAAGCTTGGCATGTCAATTCTTAGACAATTCTGTGGGGGAAAAAAAGTAGCCAAATAGCTGTTTACTTCATTTTTTCTAACTCAATTTTGAAAGAGTGAAATAGATTTGAGTTGGGATACTACAACTGGTTCCAAAAAAGATGCCTCGTTCTTATTTGCAAAGTAATTTTTCGGCTCCAGTCTCTACCTGTAAATAAAGCAGAAATATGTTAATAGTCACCTAAAAGATTCTAAAATATTTGACAAATGTTTTTGACAAAATTGCTAGATAATACTATGGCTTTAAATATCTTCTGCAAAATGTAAAAGGATTACCTCCATCCTTTTTGGGGAAAAAAATACAGCACATGCTATCACCATGTGTTTTTTCTTATGTGAATACTGAACAGAAAATTCTTAACATAAAAAGTTGTGATATATTTACCAGATCATAGCTCCCTCTTGTGTAATTCATCATTACTACAGAAAACTAAGTTGGATAGAGATTGCTTAAATTAAATTCTATGACACCTACTTATTTTATGCCTTTAATTCTACTTTTCTCATCAGTGATATTTTAGGGTTTGGAATTCTGTATTTTCATGTACTTTCAATGACAGATATCCAGGACAGATAATAATACTTATAGTAAAGCTGCACTAAAACTACATTTAGAGGAGTACTTTTGCTCAGTGACATGATTTTGACATCTGTAATCAAAATCCTGGGGTTTTACTTAAGAAAATTCATGTCTAATCTGGTACTTATTATTGCTGCTAGGTCTTTCTTCCACGTAACTTTCTAGGGGTTTTTTTCTGTTTATATTTTGATGACTTTAGGAAAAACTCTAGCTATTCTCCGTTTGCTTTATTCTCTAGTTTTTGTGTCCATAGGTGTTCAGAGCACCATAACGTGGTTATTATCATTCTGTGTCTAAGCTTTGTGGTATTCTCTTTCTCTCAGTGAAGTAAGACTCACTTTAGAACTAGTACCAGAACATGTATAAAGTAACAGCTGGAAAGCTTATTTTTACTACAGCTCTTATTTCTGACTCTACACAGAAAAATTGCATTTCATTAATTTGACTGTTATTAACACTTGAAGAATTACCTTTGGAATACAAACTTAAAAAAAAAACATATGCAGTTCTTCCTATAACAACATAGCGCAAAACCCCAAATGACCCTCCTGGAGAAGGTGCATGAGAACATAGTACGGAATAGGTAAGCAAACCCAAATTTATAAAGTACAAACAAACCTGGTGCTAATGGCTTAACTGCCACTTAAACTGTGGTTTTGTCCAGAGAAAATCATGAATCATCTTAGACGGGTCCGCACAGACGAAAGCTAATGCAGGAGGAAGTAACATCACTGACTGAACTAGGTGCGAAGATCCTTAATCTTTTTTCTATCCCAATATACACCACCATTACAATCAAGTAAGGCTGACATCGTGTATTCATTCCTCCTTGAAGAATTCAATTTATCCACAAAACCGCGGTGGCTTACTATTTTAAATTTGAATTTATTTTCAAGTAAACAACCAACCAAACCAACCCCAAACTCGGTAACACTGGCCTGAAACTTGCTGGGGGTGAGGGGAATTTGGAAACGTGGCGGTTTTAGTGCTTGAGGACCCTCCGTCTTGCTGCGCCTGTTGTTCTATCCCGGCTGCTGGCTCGCTCCGTCTCCCACTGCCCAGAGACCGGGCAGCCCCCCGCAGCGCTCGACTGCTCGCCGACGCCCCCCCGGCAACCGGCCCCAGGAGCTCCCGGAGGGCGCAGCTCCGCAGTCGCCATAGCACCCTCACACGGGCGGCGGGGAGAGGGGGCCTTTAGGTAGCCAGC